TCCATCCACATCCATCCATCCATCCATCCATCCATCCATCCATCCATCCATCCATCCATCCATCCATCCATCCACTACTCCTTCCATCCATCCATCCGTCCATTCATCCATCCATCCATCCATCCATCCATCCATCCATCCATCCATCCATCCATCCATCCATCCATCCATCCATCCCTACCTATTGTGGTTTCACAGAAGTGTCCGTTAGCGACTTCCTTAGCCAGATTAGCTCCCATCAGGACGTTGACCTCCGTCCCCAGCTCCTTGTTAATCACATTTGAGATGAGGTCCACGCCAGCCTGACTCTCATCCAGGCCCTTAACAGAACAGTTAATGAAATGCTTGCATCAGTAAAATCATACTAGTAAGTAAGACCTTTAGAGATTGCAACCCTTCCAGCCCCAGACACACAATAGCAACACCAATGATGAACTAGTATATGTTAACACTGCATTTCGGGAACAACAGACACTAAATCAACTTGAGAGTTAGGCCACACCAATTTAATTTCTTGGTTAACGGATTTTTTCTAGAAAAATAATGGAGCGGGCGGGTGAAAAAAAAATAAAATAAAAACAGGCCTAGGCATCTTATTATGGCCCAAAATGTTACAATAGGAGCCATGAAGTCAACACACCAGGCTGGTTCAAAATTTAAACAATGAATTTTGAACTTTTAATGATACCACTGCATTGAAAGATGAAATAACTGTAACAACTAGGAAGAAAAGGGCTGTTCTCAACTGTTTAAGGCAAAATATGAGCATTTTGCAGTTGATTCCGATTTTTTTTTTTTTTTGCAAATCAGAAAGTGGGCGAATCCGTCAACCAAGAAATTAAATTGGTGTGGCCTTAGGGTGTAAATAGCAAAAACACAGACAGACAGACAAGTCAAGCACTACATACCTCACTCCCTTTTGGAGTCAAACCCAACATGTTTTCTGATTGAATATTACAACTTAAGGCATTACCTTGATGAGAGACAGAGCAATGGCATCAGGTTTGATGTTTCCCTTCAGTTTTTGACACACCCCCCTGACAAACTGATGTGGTAGGACCCACACATGGATGTCTGCAGACATACAGGCCTCCACTACATCAGGGATCGCAACCTGCAGGAAAGACAGTTGGAATGATATAAAGTTAACGCTGCATTATGAAACTTTTTACGCAAAAATTAGAAAAATCCTAATTATACTAAATTTCAGTGTTATCAATTACAGTTACTATCACTTTTCAACACATTTGTCATTATTTCACATTTCTGACGTACATTTTGTGCGTTCAAACAGTCCTTGTTCAGTTCACGGTGCCTCCGGTTTGCTCAGGACAACAACAACAACAACAACAACAACAACATACAGCGGTTGGCCCCCCTACGGTGGTCAGGCATGCCAGGCTTGACAGACAGGGGCACATGTCACAAGATAAGCTTCTTTGGAAACACTCATATCTTTCAGATGAGGTGGAATATAATTATCAACTTAGTGTATTATGTTGGGCATCAATAAACTGTGGCCATTATCTCTTCAAAAGAGATTTAAAAATCTGGTAAACGATGAGGTCTTTTAGAAATTTGTAAGCTGTCAACTGACACACCACTTTTTAAATTTGTATTGTCAAAAAGTCTGGGTTTCTATACGAAGCTGCACACCCCAAATCTAGCGACCGTCTCTGCCGTGGAAATTCGGAAGGAGAATAACACTACTGTACATGGGACGAAAGGATATCTCTTCAGCTACAAGACCAACTGAGTTTGGTTTCTTTAACCTCTCTAATTGTGGTAAAATCAACAAGAAAAAACATTAATTTCACTCCAAAATTAAGGCACAAAATTGGGAATTTTGGCATAGGATAATCCCATATAGAGAAAAAAATTTTCTGGCAGAAATGACTGATGCTGGCAAGACCCAAGCCTTGACTATACCCAAGTACATTATGAAGAAACTTCTAGTACTCCAATTTTTTTAATCATCCACACTGCAAGGGGTTGCAAATCGACTCTGAGGCGCGGAGCAAAATCTAGGTCAAACAGGCAGATTACACTTGGCGCGCAAGAATACATGTAAGTAAGGTTTGGAGCCAAAAGAAATTTTCACCCTAAAATCACCATTTCTTACAGTACAATCTTCAGCCATTTTAATGTTTAATAATATTTCATGGCAGTTTAGGAGAAATGTCACCTCAAACTTGGACCCTCAAAACTCTTTCGTCTACTTTTTTAACATGCACTACCACGGACCCCGGTGGTGGAAGAACTGGGGTGTGTACCGTTAAGTGCCTGTCCTTAGGGCTGTGTACCTATGATTCAAAGGAGAGAAAATAAAGCAACTGCAGCGTGCAAAATACCTGTCTGCCCAGTTGCCCCGGGCAACCAAATTTTACTTGGGGCAACCTATTTTGAACCTAGGTAGCCCAGTGTGCTAACTGAATTTTAAGAATGCCCCCCCCCAAAAAAAAATCATGCCCACTTGGCTTGCACCACTATATCCGGCAGATGCTTTTTAATTTTAGGCATTTTAAGTAAAGGCTGTTAGAAATATTGTCAAAGGCTTATGTATGTAACATTACTTGAGGAAAGTAGTAACTTATAGGTGGGGCAACCTAAAATTCTGATGGGCAACCTAATTTTTGCCGTACGTACAATGTTCTCGGGAAGTTTGTGTCCAGGAAGGTACTTGACGTTCTCGTGGTCTGTGTTGATGATTTCTGTCAGTTTCCTGCCGTCGATCATCTCCTCAAACACCCACATGTTCACCTGCGTCTCAAACTGGTCCAGTCTGGCTGCATTCTTGCCGATTATCTTCCCAATAGCAGAACCCCTAGGAAAAGGGAAAGTCAATTAACAATTATTTGAATTACGTTTTTAAATCCTTTTTGACTTCTCTCATTATTATGTTTATCGAAAGAAAACATATTGTTATGTTTACTGAAGGAAAACATATTGCTTTTACTCAGTTTCTTCCTCTTCCTTTCTGTTCCAAACGCTAACCTTTGACCTGGCCAATGACATGATTGTTGACCGTCTGTCACCATGGTGACTGGTGCTGGGTTACATAATGTTGCAATTTCATGGTCTGCTCTACTCCTGTCACCAGATACTAGTACTCATAGTACATGAATGTGAATGTGTTTGAGTAAAAATTAACAGAGTAGACCATGTCCCAAGGCTTTGCAAATGTTACTTCTCTAGTTTGAATTACATTTTTATTACAAATACAACGAATTTTAAATCCTTTTTAAAAAAAGGACTTCTCTCATTATGTTTACCGAAGGAAAACATTGTTTTTGCTCTGTTTCTTCTTCTTCCATTCCAAACACTGACCTCTGACCTGGTCAATGACCAGACTGTCTATCACCATGGTAACTGGTGTTGGGTTAAATGTTGCAATTTTATAGTAGGAGGGATTTAGACTCCTGTCACCATATATGTGAATGTGTTTGAGTAATTAATTTTACACTGCTTTACAAGAGACTCTGTGTATCATATTATATTACTAGTAGTACATATATATTACTTCTTTTATTATTAGAAATGGTTATTGACAGTCAATCCAAACTGTTAATTACCAATGAAATTAAACCTCCTTGGAATTACTCAATAAGCAAAGAAAGAAAGATCACAAGATTAAGTGTACTTTTTGCTACTAGGCAACTAAAACCAAGCAACTATCTTACTTCTCATCACACATTATTGTCATGTAAATATGTTGATGAAAACAATGACCAGGCAACAATGTCTTCGTTTACACAAGGCTATTTTGATCATTATCAAGATAGAGTTTGGAGCAAAAAGGGTATTTGCACAGTCTTTTTAACAAAAAAAGTGTATCAGCAGTGTTTCTAACAAAAAATGCTTGTCTAATGCTTAATTTCTTTCTAAACAATTCAAATTGCATGATTCACACATTCTTAACTTGTCTGCATTCATTCTAATCATTGTTAATTACACATGTAAATTTGCCTCGACACTTTAGTCAATACCATAATTAATACACACAGATGCAACTGGTATGAAGTAACAACTACAAAACAACGACAATCAAGAAATGTCAGTCTGATAAAGCATCTCTCACCACTGGCCATGTCCTATTATGCAAATCCTCCACTTCGCCATCTTTCAAGCAGATACTGTAGTCCCAAAGGACTACAAAAATAATCTTGTCTAAACGCTGAATAAGTATCAAGTGTTGTCTGTCTCTCCAGTAGGGCCTGGGTATTTCTGTTGCTGGAGATATTTCTGACAAGTTACCAGGTCTAAAATCAATTATATATACCCGTTACAGAACAGGGCTTGAAATTCATTCTTGGGAATAGGTGCACTGGTGCACCTAGCCGTGGACGACTCTGGTACCCTTTTTGCATGATAATTATCATGCAAAAAGGGTACCAGAGTCGTCCACGGCTATGGTGCACCCAACATAACAAATATAGGTGCACAAAAATTTTTTGGGTGCACCATATAAAACAAAACCTAATTACAGATCTTACTGCTCCTCTTCTGAGCTTGAATCTGAAATGGGAGCTAACTTCAAAATCTTAAACAAGTACTTCAACAAAGATTTTATTATTTTCTGACACTTAGACACCAACAATATCCTGTATACTATTATAGAGTTGATATGTACAAAAATACCTACAAAAATGTTTGGGTACAGTGCACCGACAGAAAAAAATTGGGTGCACAGCTCCAATTTTTGGTGCACTAAGGTGCACATGCACCCAGTATTTCGAGCCCTGTCAGAATGTCGAACAATCCGAACATGGGTTACCGTGCCAAAATACTAGCTGAGTCACCGAGTAAGGTCACTTGGTCACAGTTTATAAAACTACATTTGGTCAGGCCCCTCCCCTTTCCTTATTGGTGTAAAAGCAACGAGAATTTGAGCCCGGAAAGACGCGCAACATTTAAAATGTTGAGTGGTAAACCGTTCAACGATGTGGTCGTCCAAACACAGTATACTGTATGGTAAGAAAGCGTTTGAAGTAAACTTGAAGTGCGCGTCCTAGCAAGGTCATATAAATTATTTTAGAACTAGGTCAGACTACTAACGTTATAGCACCGGTGTTTCTAACCAGCTTGTATATTCTAAACCAAAGAAACACCAACCGTTAAACCGTAGCAGCTAAACCGTATGGTTTGTTAAATATTAGCCTTTGCTGTGGAGTTTAAAAAAAAGTTACATCAGCCTGAGAAAAAAACTAGGCTAAAGTTGGGGGCGCGGCCGGACAAAACACATGGCTTTATCTTAGTAAAATCTTACCAGTTTCCAGATCCAATAATCGCTACTTTCTTCGGTGCGGACATCCTTAAAAGTCACTCAGGGAGGTGTCGTGTAGAACAGAAATCTTAAGACGGGTTAAACCTTGGTGAGGTTGGTCTCGAAAAGGAAATAGGACAGCTTGAGAGAAACGAAAATTCCGCCACAACTCAGAAGAGCGACTCAACCGGCGAGCCAAAAGGTTAAAGGTGAAAACACGTCACAGAGAGCAATTCAGACTGTTCCATCTAGAATATATATTAGGTAGGCATCTAGAATATACGGGTAAACAAATATTTCATCGTATACACTTTGTTTGGAAAGTTTACGGTTTGTAAATATTGTTACAAAATTATACAGTATCTCTAGTAGAAAGCTACTTTTTGTTTGTTTTGTTATTCAATATTAACGTTCTAATTAGGTAAATATTCTACCCTAGTGAAATAATAGTTGCTTCCAAAGATGTCATGATTTAGACGTCCCATCATCCTCCCTGTTTTGCTTCCGCCTCCCCAAATATAAAAATACGATTTTTCCCGTGAAATTTTTGTTGATTATTGTACATAGTGGTGGCATACGCTACAGGAATCGATTAATTTGTAAGCGTTTACAAATGGGTTTCTGTGGGCCCGTTAAATAAGAGAGAACTGGGAGTTTGATTCGATAGAAAGTGGAAGAATTACGCGGCCCCCCTCCCCACCTCCTTTGGCAACATGGCGACGAATGACGTGACCCGGAGTGGGTCGCCCGCGGCTAGTGAGCCTTCAGCGCCCGCCGCCGCTGCCCAGCCGGCCGTCGACCTTTCCCAGTTCAACGAGGCCGAGAGACAGCAGCTGCTGGCCGTCATGGCGCGGGCTAAAGAGCTGGAACTGTCCGAGCAGGAAGGTTTGAAGCGACCGTTCGAGGGACAGCTAAGCAAATATACCAACGTGATGAAAGGCTGGCAGTACAGGTAGGCGGTGTCCAGTTCAGAAATCTCTAGCAACTAAATCATAAACACAAATTTGAATGTTGTATATTCAGTCCTGTCAACATCATAACTGTGTCTGTACGTATGACTAAGGATGTTATGATAATAACTATAACGTAATTAAATTACACATCTACTGGGTTTGTGAAAGATAGCTCGAGTTTTCTTAAGGTTGAAGCATGATGATTTTTGTTTGCCGTAGCAAATTTGAGTGGAACATTCTATCAATAAAGTAAACAAAAGTCTCACTGAGACTAAAATACTGGGCATCTCAGAAGGGAAGAAATTCATTCGAATCAGTGAATTTGAAACATCCATTCATTATTGCTGCTCAGAAATGTTACTGTTACATTATTTTTTTTCACACAAATTATACACAGGATCACCTTCAGGGTTAGCCTAGTTCTAGGGTCAGGGTGGACAGGGTCATGAGGTTTTAATTAAGAAAATACAATAGGTTGTCAAGTATCTAATGAGGGCCTGCATGGGGGGGTATTGATTACGAATTACACAAGATTTTCACCGATTACAAATTACGTTAAAGTCTCAGAGCTGATTACGACTTTACGATTTGTGGCTAATGTCCTATCACGAGTTACGTCGATTTTAGGGGAAGCTTCATACGAATTACGAAGTCCAGAAAGGCCTGATTATGCCTTACGAAAAAGGGCATGCAGGCCCTCTCTGATTGGTTGCATGTATAAGTTTCCTAGTATTAATGTATTATATAAATATATATAAGCTATAACACGTCACACTCACAAACAAAGGCCCAATTTACACAAGACAAAATACATGTATATCTGTCTTGTGACATTCGATGTGCGGCGCGGGTCAAATCTCCTAGGACACTTGTCGTTTTACACACAAGGACAGTGGCTCCCACTGCGTGCTTCGTCACATGTGGTGAACTCTGTTTCTTAAGCCCTGGTCACAACCCGCTGTGCATGCTTTTTGTCTGTACCTTTTATTGGGATATCTGCTACGTTTTTTTTAAACGTGGGGAAGGAGTGGCGTCGACGCACGTCACTCGCACGGTTGTGTAAGGTGTAAGAGTGTGGTCTGCACGCCACATCTGGCCGTGAGCGGTTGCGTGCGTTAACGTTGTTTGCTGCGCAAGTGGTAAATGAGTTGTACGTGCTTATAACGTACGATCTCTGTGCGATTGCAACTTTACCATAAGGAGGCCGTTCACGCACAGGGTTCTCACACGTGCTGCTTATGTACGGTACGTATGTATGGGTGGTGAATCCGCAGACCGCATGCAGAAAAAGTTTTGTCTGCGTGCTCCCAAATCTGTAGGCATGCAGAAAAGGGCTGCGTGCAACGCAGGTCTGACTGTTAACATACTGCTGGGCCGCGACGCAGACTCCCCACTGAGTGTCGCGCCACACTTGTGGCACCTCCTCGATGCACCACAGAAAAAACGCAGTATGGCGCATCAGTACTAGTGGCGGACCTGTTTACACGCATAAAAAACTGTCTTACAGTTCGCGCTGCGCGGTGTCGAATGGCAGGACAGATATATTTTGCTCCATGTAAATCGGGCCAAAGGAGGGTCTGGGAGGGGTTTGATGGCTCTAACAATAATGAGAATTTCCTCATTTTGTAATTGAGAAAAAGAGAGTCTAACATGAATACTTCCTGCCATGGATATTCTGTTTTCTTCCTCTCTCTTTCCTGTCACTCCTCTTGTGGCAAATTTCTTTCTATCTAATGCAGTTCTCCCCCCCCCCACCTCCTGTAAATACTTCACATCCATACACAAAAGTCAAACTTAAAGGTGCCCTAAGCGATATCTGGCCGATAGTAGGCTGGGAGCATTCAATTTCAAAAGTCTGTCTTTTTGTCACATTTTCACGTAGTATGTTGAATCAACCCTATCCTATCCCATACCGATAGTCATGGAGCAAAAATTCGATGCCGCTTTGCCGTACGAACGCCGTGAAAAACTACGTGCCTCCCGCCGCCGGCAGTGGTGTCGGCCATTTTTGAAATTTCCGAGCGCTCGCGAACACTTCCGACGTCTTCCGAGCAGAGCCGAGGACGAGTCACGTGGTTTACCGCGACCTTTCCAGGGGTCAATAGAACGTGCTGAATCAGTCGAACCGCAACGCGTTATTCTCTAAGATACGGCATTTGCCGGGTCACGATTTGACCCCGTTGCAAGGGTGTAAATCACTGCCTATATTGTAACAAAAATACCTCAGACCTACATAATGTTTATACTTTTACATATCTGCAGGATTTGCCGTGTACAACCATGTAGATATTTCGTGCATTGCAAAATTACAGCGAGCGCTACGGCCTTCCAAACATTAGCAATTTTTGGTCAGTTTATTTGTGCTTGTCTTTTTGCTGTTCGACTGGATCCCATTAGCTAATACCACAGTGTGATAGCCCACTTCTTCGCCTTTACATTGGTACCAAAGACCCCCGGTAAATTTTAGGACAAACGGGTTTGCCCCCCAAAAAACTATGACGATGCGCACATCGCGGTAGTCAAATTTTAGCCCAGTTGTAAGCCAATGGCACACACCATCCTGAGTTTCCGCTACATTTTGATACATTTCGCGTAATGTCATAAAATCCGTTTCTTGGTATGAGAAACTGTATGAATGTGGCTACCACATGCAATATAATAAGTGATATGATAACATTCAAGTATATACAAAAAGAAGAATTTAATACAAGGTTCTGACCATTCAAAAATCGTCAAATTTGAAGTCAATCGGTTTCGAACTCCTGCGTTCGATCCATGGAACCAAGGCAGCGCGTTCCATTTTTCGCGGGAGTTCCCGAAAATTGCCGACGGGAAACGGTTACTTGGTGGATTTTGGGGCCGATTAAATGGAGGCCCCGATAAATCGAGCAACTTGTCTCTGGGCTAGTTTCTGTGCTGTTTCAAACGCCAAACGTATGCAATAATGATGCAAATGTGCTGATACTTGGTGGTATGTGTCAATACCATACAGATTGTCTTGTTCCACATATTTCCTATTTTAATGCCCTGATATCGCTTAGGGCACCTTTAAGGCCACACCAATTTAATTTCTTGGTTAACGGATTCGCTGATTCATTTATTTCTGATTCGCAAATAAAAATAAAAATTCAGAATCAACTGCAAAATGCTCGTTTTTTGCCCTGAACAGTTGAGAACTGTCCTTTTCTTACTACGTGTTACAGTAATTCCATCTTTCAATGCAGTGGTATCATTAAAAGTTCAAAATTCATTGTTTAAATTTTGAACCAGCCTGGTGTGTTGACTTCATGGCTCCTATTGTACCATTTTGGGCCATAATAGGATGCCTAGGCCTGTTTTATTATTTTTTTTTCGCCCGCTCGCTCCATTATTTTTCTAGAAAAATCAAAAAACTAAAAACTAATTCAAGAAATTAAATTGGTGTGGCCTAAAGCTTATATATTTACACAATCCTTCATCAAAGCTGGAAATACTTTGCATACCTGCACTGGTACAGATGCACATTGAAGATTACCTGCATCAGACAAATCATAACATGTTTTGTAATTGTACAGTACTGTAAGTTACAAAATTGTTTCCACCATGACCTTCAAGTTCAAAATCAAATGCCTTTTCGCACCGAATGCAAAATTGCTGGGGAAGTACATGCATGTACGTTTAAATACTTGCTACGCATGTTGTTAATAATGATCTTAAAAGTTGAGTTTGAATATTTTGTAGTCTCCAAAATGCATTCTGTTCAAACTTTTTTAAATGCAATTTTTTCTGGAAATTGCATGTTGCAAGTGGTTATTTTGAACCCTGTGTTACACGGTTTTACCCAATATTTCTCCATTACACAGTACTAATCATATACACATGTACTATGCACTCTGAATTATTGGTACTTTCTCAGCAGTCAGGATATTGGTTTTTGCCCAGAGATAAATGATAATTACCTGTAGTATTGGAGTTCTTTGACAAGCAGGCATGGGTTGTTACTAGTATTACTCGTAACATACTAGTACTAAACTATTAGACATTAGGTCACAAATTGTTGAAACATGTTGGCTATCAGCCCAAATAGCCTTTCGACCTACTAATTTTAGTTAACGTTTCTGACTGCCTAGGCTGTAACAAGTATATTATTTCTAACAACATCTGGTATACCTGAAGAAAAAAAACACAATTTTTTACACTAAAGATTTATGTAAGGAAATTACATCTCAAACTATGAGACTTGTTGGCTCTGACTCAAAGATGTAAATAAAAAAGTACATAGGCCACACCAATTTAATTTCTTGGTTAACGAATTCGCCCGCTTCATTCTTTTCTGATTTGCAAAAAAAAAAAAAAATCAGAATCAGAATCAACTGCAAAGTGCACATATTTTGCCCCGAACAGTTGAAAACAGTCCTTTTCTTTCTAGTTGTTACACTTACAGTTATTCCATCTTTCAATGCAGTGGTATCATTGAAAGTTCAAAATTCATTGTTTAAATTTTGAACCAGCCTGGTGTGTTGACTTCATGGCTCCTATCGTACCATTTTGGGCCATAATAGGATGCCTGGGCCATTTTTATTTATTTTTTTTTATTTTTTTCGTCCACCTGCTCCATTCTTTTTCTAGAAAAATCCGTCAACCAAGAAATTAAATTGGTGTGGCCATAGCACTTTAAAATCAGGAAAACTTGCAAATTCTCAGTTAGTTTACATACATAATATGTATAAGCACCTGTAATTGTTAATCAGGTTACTCTTAAATTTAATGCCTTGGTTCAACAAGTTGGTACACAACTGTTATACAGGAAATCTCTAAAATTCCCGATGATGGTATCAGAACAATGTTCTGTGGTCTCAGACCAAAGTTCTGATGAGTCATGGTATGAATCACTGTCCACCAATCACAACCTTCTTCTCTTTTTCTCTCTTGCTGTGTTGTCAAGGCAACCCTATCAAGGCCAGCTGGCCAAATATACCAACCTCATAACGGGATGGCAATATAGGTAAGGTCAAAAACTGGTGTCTCTCCTAAACTTTCACACTTACCAGAAATTATATATCTGCCAACATCTTAGATTCTATATTATGAATGGAAAAATCTGTAGTCTAGCTATGGTTATATATATACCGGTATGGAACAATTTTTTAAATGTGTATCTGTAAATACATGCATGTTAGTACTATTGTTAGTTAAATTCTTGCCAGAATTCATAGAGATTATGATAATATAAGTTTAAACATGCAAAATGATACAAGTCAGACATATCATTTTTGGCCTCCATGAAAAAGAAGGAAGGAAATTAGACTGTATAGAATGATGTACAAAAAAATTATGTAGTTTTCATTTGATAATTGGAAGGCTTTAGATTATTAATATTTTTTAACTGGAGTTGTTTTCAAATGTACTAGTACTAGTACTACTCTCTCTGCATGTTTCATGTCCATGTCTTTGTTCATATTTCTTGTACTGTCTTCTTACCTGTATGATGAGTGTTTGAGCCAGCTTACTGTCTTTCCATTTTTCTGTCCTCCCTTCTGTTCTTTATTCTGCCACACCAATTTAATTTTAAGCTTCAGGATCGCCCTGTCCATTTTTTTCTGATTTGAATAAATAATTTTTTTTTAGGTTTTAAATCAACTGCAAAATGCACAATAAAAGACATATTTTGGCTCGAACGGTTGAAGAAAGTTCTCTTCTTCTTAGTTGTTAAAGTTTTTCAATGTAACAATGTAATTTTGTTTCATCTTAAGTTCAAAATATATTATTTTGATTATAAACCAACCTGGTATGTTGACTTCATGGCTCATATTGTAACATTTCCGGCTATCATGGGGTGCCTTGGCCTGTTTCTTTTTTTTATTTTGCCCTGTCGCTTCATATTTTTTTCTGAAAAAAATCAGAGAAGCAACAAATTAAATTGGTGTGGCCTAAGTGGCATGCTTACTGTAACCTTTCTATTTGGCATTAGACAAAGGTATTCTTGGTTCGAAAAGAAGAGCAAGAATAAAATATGGTTTACATCAATATAAATTATAATAGATAGAAACAAAATATTATTTTTTGGCAGTGTGTGTGTCAAGGCTATGTCATACTGATTTAGATTGTTTAAGATTCATTGTTGTATGTGCATGTACATGAATATATGTCTGATTTTTTTTATTTTTCCATTGTGCAATGCCATCTAGTAGTCTTGTGTGGTACTGCAGCAAGTACATGTGTATCTTTCATTTATGCATCATATTTTACCAGTAGATCACACTCGAACTTGTGTTTCATGTTTCAGTTTTTAGAATTAATGTAGTAACTGTATATTACCGGTACCCACACTATGTATATATATTCCTTGTATGTTTGCTTTGGATTTTTTGGTCACATTTTATGGGTTACAGTTTTGAAGGGGGAGATTTGAGATAATGCTGCAATGCAAAGATTTTGAATCTTTCTCTTACTTTGCCATTTGATAGTTCAAACATCTTCTTGAGGAAGATGCAATGGAAACGTTTTTATTCTTTTTATATGAATGAGATGACGTCATTTATTAAAGGTATCCAATGCAATTTCAGGGCAGCAAACTGGATTTTCAAATAAGTCAATTTTTCTGGTCATTCTTTTAATGTAGTAAGTTGAATTAATCCTACCCTATAGCATACTGATATCTGTAACTAGGGCCACACCAAGTTAATTTCTTGGTTAACGGATTCGCCCGCTTCATTTTTTTCTGATTTGCAAATAAAAATAAAAATTCAGAATCAACTGCAAAATGCTCATATTTTGCCCTGAACAGTTGAAAACAGTCCTTTTCATCTTAGTTGTTACAATTATTCTATCTTTCAATGCAGTGCTATCATTAGAAGTTCAAAATTCATTGTTTAAATTTTGAACCAGCCTGGTGTGTTGACTTCATGGCTCCTATCATACCATTTTGGGCCATAATAGAATGCCTAGGCCTGTTTTTATTACCTTCGCCAAGAAGGTTATGTTTTCAGTAGCGTTTGTCTGTTTGTCTGTTTGTCTGTCTGTCTGTCTGTTTGTGAACAGCATAACTCAAGAAGCTTAATATGCATTGTCATGAAACTTGGTAGGTGGGTAGGTCTTGATGAGACCTAGAAATGATTAGATTCTGGGCCCCCTGGCGGCTTTTGTTGGTACTGCAGCAGAACTTCCGGTTTTGATATCTCGCGATCTGGACATGCTAGGGTCACGAATTTTGGTTGGTAGATAGCTCTTCAGGTGGGGAAGAAGTGACATGAGTTTGGGCCCCCTAGCGGCTCGTTCTGGAACTGCAGGAGCGTTTGTTGAAATTTTTTCAAAGGATGATAACTCGAGAACCGGTTGACGGATTGTCGTGATTTTTGGTATGTAGGTAGCTGAAGGGATGCTTGACATAATCAAATGACAATTATGCAAATCAGGAGCTAATTTACATAATTAATGAGGAAATTCTATAAATCTGCTTTGTTCGATAATAGGACTATGAAACACTTGTGACATGTAATTGAGAATGAAAAAAACATCTGAGGATATAGATTATGTAAATGAAGACCTAATTTGCATAATTAATGGGAAATGTTCATAATTTCATAGTTGTAACTGCTGGGAATTTCATACTTGAAGTTAAGTGAAGGCGAACATCAATAAACTTAATTTATTCAAATTATGACCTCATTTGCATAATTTATGAGGAAGTGCTATAATAGCCTTCTTGTTAAGATAAAGCTGTCATTGGGTGGAGAATAAGATCAACTGATATAACTCATGCAAATGAGGGTCTTATTTGCAAAATCAATTATCAAAATTAATTGTATAATTCTTCAACCGCAAGGGTTAACATCATTTGGCGAAGGTATGAGGTCGTGGAACTCTTGTTTTTATTATTTTTCGCCCGCCCGCTCCATTATTTTTCTAGAAAATCCGTTAACCAAGAAATTAAATTGGTGATGTTTGGCCCATTGCTGGACAGTCGTAAGGTCCCAGGTGGCAGCTAGGCAGGAAAGTCTTTTGAGCAAGATTAGCATTTATCTATTAACCTCTGGTAATTCCTGTGCTCCTGTATTGAGCTCACAATTTTGGTAAAGGCTACCAGAACACATGGTACATCCCATACTTTAGGGAACAGTGCAAAATTTCAGTGTATCCCATATATGAAATTCTAAAAGTTTATGTATACTTTAGGGAACAGTGCAAAACTTCAGTATATCCCATACATGAAATTCTAAAAGTTTATGTATACTTTGTTAGATATTTATTCCGTTATAAGCTAGGATAAGATAATTTTATTACAGTTAGTATTATTGTATAATGCTTCATGACATCAAGCCTAATCAACCTCTAACCCTTGACCTTTTGACCCTTGACCTCCAGGTGGTTTGTACTTGACCCCGACTCGGGAGTTCTTGACTATTATGTAAATGAGGAGAGTAAGAAACAGAGGCCGCGAGGATCGCTACAGCTGGCGGGATCAGTGATGTCACCCAGCGACGAGGATTCGCACACGTTCAGTATCAACGCAGCCAATGGAGAGGTCTACAGGTTACGTGGTAAGGACAGCGTTTCTAGATATGTTAATGCCAGGGCTCGAAATCATTTTTTTTTATGCCTACCTGCACTGGTACAGGTAACTTTGAAAATTACCGGCACCACTCATCAGAATTTAGGAAGTATGGATCATATTAAAAACCGTTCAGAAACTATATTCATTAATTACACTTTATAGGTGGTAATTATTATAATAGTCAATGCAGTAAATAAAAATCCACACATAAACCTACATGACTATTTAAACCGAATACATGGACTGGTACAGGTTAGGTGCAGGTACAGTAGACATCAGACAGGCCTCGAAATTAACTTTTCTTCATATTGTCCCAACACTGTCCCAAAAATAAATTTCAATGTCCTAAAGTGAGGATGAACTGTCCCAACCTGTTTTTGTGGCAAGTATTGAATGACTACAACTTGAAGTCAACTTTATTTTGCTTATGTTCACTCCCAGGCACACTAATTGCAGAAAATTCTGGGGGATTTCTGGGGATCCAAAAGACGGGATGTGTGATAAACAAAAGAAGGGCTGACATTCTGATGTTGATTATTTTTCTATTGTCCCCCCAAAAGTCCCAAAGTGTCTTTTTAGTTTTCCCAGCATAAATTTTAGTGGTCAGTGGCCATTGGACCACCTTTAATTTCAAGCCCTGATCAGAAATACCTGCACAGCCCCAATTTTACCTGCACTTAATAGGTGCATATATGCACCCAGTATTTTGAGCCCTGTCTTAACACTTCTGATAGTAAACTTATCCAGCAGAATGCCCTGACTACTTCACTGCATTATACATCCTTGTTCTTCTAATGGTATCACAAAGCCGGGGGGGGGGGTGTGGCTGAGTGGTTCAGGTAACAAACACACTGTTGATTCTTTGCATTCATACAGGTGGTCACTTGGTGCTCGTTTTCGCGTGGTTCAGAAAAATGTACAAAAAATGGGCTCTGCCTTCTAATACCATGTCCAAGACAGTGGAATTATACTAGTAACAACCCATTGCCCCTTCGGCTTGAAAAAGGCTTAGTGAGACCTTTACCAGTTTTCTTATCACAAAAGGCCACTAATGGGGTCTGTGGGTGGAGGGGAGTTGTTAGGTAGTTGATGTACTCCTGTGTAAGTGGTGGATTCAGACTACTGTAATGTGGGATTAACATAAGGCCACACCAATTTAATTTGTTGTTTCTTGGATTCGCCCTGTCCATTTCTTCTGATTTGAAAAAAAAATTTTTTTTGGTTCTAAATCAACTGCAAATGCTCAATGAAAGACATCTTTTGGCCCCAACGGTTGAAGAAAGTCCTTTTCTTCCTAGCTAAAGTTTTTTAATGTAACAATGCAATTTTATTTCATTAAAAGTTCAAAATATATTGTTTTAATTATAAACCAGCCTGGTATGTTCACTTCATGGCTCAAATTGTAACATTTCCGGCTATCATGGGGTGCCTTGGCCTTTTTTTTTTTTTTACATTTTTATTTCGCCATGTCGCTTCATATTTTTCCTGAAAAAATCTGAGAAACAACAAATTAAATTGTTGTTGCCTAAGGATCACACCTACATGCAGATTGTGTATGTACAGAAAATAAAATGGCAAAAGAGAATACTTTTTTGTCTTTATACATATTGTTATAAAGGTACTGAAGCCTTGTACGTGCAATAATGGATATGTAGAAACTAATGAATTTTACAAACCGTACTTTCAAGGACATGTTGAGATACATCAAAGAAACCACATAATATTATGATTATTTTTTTCATTGAGCAGATACATTTAGTAGAATAGATGTCAGTGACCAAACAGATACAGAAACTGATCTACTTGTAGAAAATGGTCAGTACTAGATATAAGAAAAACAAAAATGGCGTAAAATGCACTTATTCAAAGCATAAGGTCGTGCAAGGGCAGAAATGGATTTGACCTTGATCCTTGTTTGTGCTGTTTGTATGAGGGTTTTGGGGATTGATCATACCACTTGAGAAATGGGTAAAATAACCTTTATTACAAGAGGAATATATAAAAGAGTATAATATTTGTGAGGGCTGTGGTATAGAAAGAACTGAACTTAAAACATTTTCATTATATGGAAATGTTGCTAATCTTAGATCATGTTGATAAAAATAGAATTACCTCTTGGAAAAGTGGTATGGCCGATGTCCTTATAAGGAGGTCATGATTGACAGTATATTTGGCAGTCATGATCTTCCTTGAGGGCCTGCATGGGGGGTAGTGATTACGATTTACGCACAATTTTCCCCGCCGATTATGAATCACGTTAAAGTCTCACAGCTGATTACGACTTGACGATTTACGGTTAATGTCCTATTACGAATTACGTGTTTTTTTGGAGGCTGCCTACGGATTACGAAGTTTAAAAAGGCTGATCACGCCTTACGAAAAAGGGCATGCAGGCCCTCTTCCTTGTTGCTTGTGTCAGGGGAACTTGCTTAGCAGGGGTAGATAGCAATGGCAAACCCTACAGTCACTCATGTGGAGACTGAAAGGTAGGTGAAATGGGGTTTCTACCTTCTATTCGTACAAGAAATCTATTCAAAAGGAAAAATATCCTTATTCTAAATTCGTTTGCAGTTAGTTCTTTTTTTTTGTGGTTGAGATGTGACAAAAATTAATTATTGTATGATACATAAATGTTTTAGGACATCAGTAAGTATATCAACTGTATACATAATTATATAGTACCAAAATTATCAAATATGTAATGTATTTTTGCAATCTATATGTTACATACTGTAACAGTCATCATCAAGTTGTTTGCAATATTTCAACATTGAATATTGAGAATTAGATTAAACTTATTTTTCAAGCAATTTTTGTAATTTAGTAATTAAGGACTACCAAGGGTTAAGTTATATTCATGGTAATTTATATTTAGCTCGTATTCCACTAAATAGTTTGCTCTAGTGGTCTATTGTATTAATTGTTGGCAAGCTGCATTGGCCAGAATCTAGATGGTGATAGATTTTTGTAACTAGAAACTGTATATAATATTATTACAGAAAAAAATCTCCATGATAGTGGAAGAATTTGTCGTGGCACCTGGAACTAGCTAACGCTCCTTCCACGGTGAGCCGAAAATCAAATCACAAATAAGATTCCATTCCTCATGCCTGACACAATGGGTTTAATCCAATCAAATGGACCAGCTATCATCCAGGTTGGCATGGCAACCGGGTTTCCGCTCCCCTGTCGTGTAATTTTGTATCAAGTTTTGATTGCCTGGGTTTTAAGCGAAAACGATTTTGAGCAAGTGGTATTACTGTTCAGCAAAGGTACATTCTGTGCCCGCTTTAAATTGAATGATAATCCCGCAAGCCAGTTGGATAATCCGATTAGTTGTCATGGTAACCAGGGAGATGATAAATGATACGAGCACCGCAGATGTGTTTCACACCGTATAGAGGCCAGCAGATGTGAGTAGTGAGTCGTGAGGGAGGAATTTGTACGAATCTTGTCCCTAAAGGATGAAGGAAGGAAATGTATTTGCTCTTAGGCCACACCAATTTCATTTCTTGGTTAACAGATTCGGCAACTTCATTTTTTTCTGATTGGCCAAATAAAAAATAAATTCAGGATCAACTGCAAAATGCTCATATTTTGCCCTGAACACAGTTGAAAACAGTCCTTTTCATCCTAGTTGTTACAGTTATTCCATCTTTCAATGCAATGGTATCATTAAAAGTTCAAAATTCATTGTTTAAATTTTGAACCAGCCTGGTGTGTTGACTTCATGGCTCCTATCATACCATTTTTGGCCTTAATAGGATGCCTAGGCCTGTTTTTATTTTTATTTTTTTTTGCCCACCCGCTCCATTATTTTTCTAGAAATATCCGTTAACCAAGAAATTAAATTGGTGTGGCCTAAAGGGCAGCAGATGTGAGTCGTGAGGGAGGAATTTGCCGAATCTTGTCCCTAAAGGATGAAGGAAGGAAATGTATTTGCTCTTACGGTGTTTTCGCCACTGGCTCTTTGCTCAAATGACTTAGGCCACAGCAAGTAAATTTTATGGATGACATCCTCCGCAGACTCCAAATCTAATGCGAGCACGCAAGAAAACAAGGTTCCTACATTTTCAAATTTTGACTCATGTGATTGTACAAATCATTTTTATTCAGTGGGAACACATATGCAAAGCCAGCATCACATAGACATGTATCACTGCTTCAAAGTAAGAAACAAAACATTAAATCAGAGCCTTTTCTTGTCTCCTCTCTTCATAGTTATCTGCTTATAATCCACCTTCCGGCATGGCAACAGACATGTTTGCCCATTTTTGGCATGTTGACCACTGTCAGAAGGCAAAAAAATTTCTTGTTTTTTTCTTTCCAAAATCAGGCAAAAATTAATGTGGGCGTTGATGTCATCCATAAAAATTACTTGCTGTGGCCTTATTCTGGCTCTAGATGATACAAAGAGTTTTGAGCAATCCTTTTGAGTTTGCCAGGAGGACACCTAGTAATGATACCTGTTTTAAAGTGTTTCATTTCTTTTTAACTTGGGTCATTCTCAATAATTAGGGGAAAAGAAGGTACTAGTAAAACAGATACATGTATATCTATAGGAAGTAAGGCCTAGGCATCCTATTATGGCCCAAAATGGTACGATAGAAGCCATGAAGTCAACACAAAAGGCTGGTTCAAAATTTAAACAATGAATTTTGAACTAACATCTTTTAATGATACCATTGCATTGAAAGATGGAATAACTGTAACAACTGGGATGAAAAGGACTGTTTTCAACTGTTCAGGGCAAAATATGAGCATTTTGCAGTTGATTCTGTATTTTTTTTAAATTAGGCCACACCAATTTAATTTGTTGGTTCTCGGATTCGCCTCTTCATTTTTTTCTGATTTGACAAAAAAAAAAAAATTCTGGTTCTGAATCAACTCAAAAATGCTCATATTTTGCCCCCAACAGTTGAGGAAATTCCTTTTCTTCCTAGTTGTTACAGTTTTTTCCATCTATCAATGCAGTGGTTTGATTAAAAGTTCAAAATTTATACTTTAAATTTTAACCCAGCCTTTTTTGTTGACTTCATGGCTCATATTGTAGCATTTGGGGCTATAATAGGATGCCTAGACCTGTTTTTATTTTATTTTTTTTCGCCCTGTCGCTTCATATTTTTTCTGAAAAAATCCGAGAACCAACAAATTAAATTGGTGTGGCCTTAGAAAAAAATGTAGCGGGCGAATCCGTTAACCAAGAAATTAAATTGGTGTGGCCTAAGTATCAGTTGTATTTCTGCTGCTAGAAAAAAGCATATTCATTTTTAAAAGCACCACAAAGTTAGCAAATATGGTATATAATGGTAACTGTTATAAAACTGTCAAATATTTGCACACATATATCATAAAACGTTATTACAGAAATGACCTAAATTTGCTTCTTATCATAATCCCACATCAGATTTAGATATCGCCATGGGATACCAATAAATGTGGTAACCAATAAATAAAGCTTGTGGAATTATAATTACTACTAGATAAGGCCACACCAATTTAATTTGTTGTTTCTCGGATTTGCCCTGTCCATTTTGTCCTGATTTGCAAACAGAAAATTTTTTTTTAGGTTCTATTTAATTTCAACTGCAAAATGCTCAATGAAAGACATATTTTGGCTCAACCAGTTGAAGAAGGTCCTCTTCTTCCTAGTTGTTAAAGTTTTTCAATGTACAATTTTGTTTCATTAAAAGTTCAAAATCTATTGTTTTAATTATGAACCAGCCTGGTATGTTCACTTCATGGCTCATTGTAACATTTCCGGCTATATGCATGGGGTGCCTTGGCCTGTTGTTTTTTTTCACCCTGTCGCTTCATATTTTTTCTGAAAAAATCAGAAACAACAAATTAAATTGGTGTGGCCTATTGTGTGTAAAAATAAATCCTTCATTATGCATTGACTGACTTGAGACTCAAACTGAAAAATGTGTATTATGTAAGTGTAGCCACTTTGTGTCTGCCTCAATAGCTCGCTGCTATATTTACCTGAGTTGCAGGGAGACCCATAAGTCAAGAATCGTAATGCTTAGTGTCGTGACTAAGGCCACAGCAAGTAATTTTTATGGATGACATCAGCGCGCGCATTAATTTTCACCTGATTTTGGAATAAAAAACAAGAAATTTTGTTGCGTTCTGACAGTGGTGACCATGCCGAAAATGGGCAAAGATGTCTGTTGCCATGCCGGAAGTTGGATGGCAGATAAATATGAAAAGAGGAGACAAGAAAAGACTCTGATTTAATGTTTTGTTTCTTACTTTAATGCACTGACATGTGATGTTGGGTGTGTAGATGCGATGTTCCTACTGAATCAAAACCATTTAGTGTACAATGATTGAGTCAAAATCTTAAAATGTAGTAACCTTGTTTTCTTCGGCCCGCCAAGTGTTTTTTTTTTTTTCGCCCGCTTGCATTAGATTTGGATTCTGTGGAGGATGTCATCCATAAAATTTACTTGCTGTGGCCTAATGATCAGCCCTTGTTCATTCGCATGGGTACGTGGGTACAGATGTGCTCGCGTAACAGTCTCCTTTATGTATTTATAAATCGACATTTATCTGATGTTGTACGTCGATGAAGGTTAGACATCCAGGTAATACGATACACCAAAAAGCAGTTACTCAAGCAACTGAAATCATATCCAGTTGCTTGAGTAACTGCTTTTTGGCGTATCTGATGTTGTATCTGTAAGTAGTAGTATTATCTAAGTGTGTGTGTTCTGTTGCTATTCTACAACATACAAACTGTACATGGTACTAGTTTTACTGGGTTTGACTTCTTCTTTTTAGGCAATGGAAGACGAATTTACCCACTTCTCCTATAATATGTGGGTTCTTTGATTTTAGAAGTAAAATTATTTTTTTGTGGTAGGGAATGGTGGGGAAGTAAGGGAGCATTAATTGGACACAGTGCTAAATAGTTGTTAACTTTTCTGATGTCGTCATAAAATGGACAGTTAGAGATGAAATGAATTTCGTCTTCCACTTCATTTGAGGAGCAATATTTACACATTCTCTCGGACACAGGTACTTTCATATATCGCCCTTTTTCGATTTCCAGGGAGTGGGCACTGATTCTAATAAATTATAATGTTAGATGTAGATATAGTCTCACATACCACTGTATTTTCCTTCTTAATCTAAAATTGTTGTTTGTAACTGCAATTAGCCATCGGGCATGTATTTGCAATAAACTTTCTTCTATGTATCTCCGAAATGTATTTGTTCTTGGTTTGTGTAGAGAAGCTATGAGTTGCTTACAGGGTATGTTATAGCAATTGGGCACTTCCTTGTATCCTGTCGCAAGCAAGGGAGTTAGAAGATATTGTAACTGATGTTTTGGGACCATCCAACTAACTCTTTAATTTGTCTTCGTAACAGAGGTGTTGGCCAGAAAAATAGCTTTTTATGCTAAAGTACCATGTTGTGTCTGGTATAACATGTTGTTATATATATATAATGGGACCAAACTGTTTTAGATTTATATATTATAGCAACTTGCTAGTTCATTGATCACAACCATTTATTTTTCACGAGTCAACGTTTCGATGACCGTCTGTCATCTTCATCAGGGCAATTCTGACTGGTTTACTGTGCACCGACGCTAGATGTTACTTGGTGCATAGTGTACTAACATCTAGCGTCAGTGCACAGTCACCCCCATGAAACTCCTTCCTCTTCGCCCCGCCGTTCTGCTTCGCCCCCGCCCCATTCTGCTTCGCCCCCGCAAAAAATCTGCTTCGCCCCCGTCGTTCCTCTACGCCCCCGGCGCAATTCTGCTTTGCCCCCGTCCTTCTGCTTAGCCCCCAATGGCGGCACAGCTCACAGTCGACACGAAAATCGTCTGCAAAATAACAATAAAGGCTGTGCCGCCAAATTTAAAGTAGCCCATGCTCCGGCAAACATTCTGGACCACCTTTCTGCCAAGTGGCGTTGCACAAATCCTTCCCATTCAAAAGTTTACCCCTACCTCACGGCCCGTCAGTGGTTCTTACGTTTATAAGTACTGGCGGGAAATTTCACTCACGGCTGTACTTATAAACGACAGACAGTCATCGAAACGTCGGCTCGTGAAAAATAAATGGTTGTGATCAAATAACTTTGCTATTCATTCGTTTACCAACCTGATGAAATTAGTTACGGATGTTTTAGATATAGAAGCAAACTTCGCCTTCTAGCTATACAAAGTGTGTGGTTGTTGATGCATGAAAACTGCCCAGTAACTATTACCGTAACCTGTATTTGTGCTGACTGACGACCTTGCTTTGTTTTTCAGCATTTGATGCTAAGGAGCGACAGCAGTGGGTGAATCGACTGCGCTCAGTAGCTCAGTATCACACCGAGACATTGGCTCAGGTCTGTGGAATTTTAGTTTTTAATTCACCTAAGGCCGAACCAATTTAATTTCTTGGTTAACGGATTTTTCTAGAAAAATAATGGAGCAGGCGGGCGAAAAAATAAAAAATAAAAACAGGCCTAGGCATCCTATATAGCTATTAATATTATAGCCCAAAATGGTATGATAGGAGCCATGAAGTCAACACACCAGGCTGGTTCAAAATTTAAACATTCAAATGAATTTTGAACTTCTAATGATACCACTGCATTGGAAGATGAAATAACTGTAATGACTAGGAAGAAAAGGACTGTTTTCATTTTGCAGTTGATTCTGAATTTTTTTTTTGCAAATCAGAAAAAATGAAGCGGGCAAAGCCGTTAACCAAGAAATTAAATTGGTGTGGCCTAAGGGAGTGAAGTAATATTTTGGGCTTGTTTGTCTATAATTCTGTGTTTCATATTATATATTATATATATACACTTCAAGCATTGCCCTTCCATGTATGTACTCTCCTTTATGCTGTCAGTGTTTTCCTCTTAAATTTATCCTTTACTGGGAAAAAGCCCCAGGGATATTAACTGTACAACAACTTGTCATATCTTAATGCCGGATGTTTTGAAAATTTTAGCAACTGCATAGAGGATTGTGATGTGTATCATGTTATGCAGTATATATCAGTTCTGTAGGAGACTGTAATGCATACATCTAATGGTACAGGGCTCGAAATTCATTTTTGGGAACAGGTGCACTGGTGCACCCAACCTAAAAAATTAGGTGCACAAAAATTTTTTTGGGTGCACCATATAAAACAAAACCTAATACAAAGATCTTTAGTTACTGCTCCTCTTCTGAGCTTGAATCTGAAACAGGAGCTAACTTCAAAATCTTAAACAAGTACTACAACAAATTATTTTTCTGACACTTATGATGCCAAGAATATCCTGCATACTATTATAATTTGATATGTACAAAAATACCTACAAAAATAGAAAAAAATTAGGTTCACAGCTCCAAATTTGAGTGCACTAAGGTGCACATGCACCCAGTATTTCCAGCCCCCCTGTAATGGTACCAGAAATGTTTTTATCCACATGGCTTCTAGCTATTCCTTTCTTTCCTGGCTGTTATAAATGCCCGCCCGTTAAGTGCTCTCTGATGTTATCAGTTCAGCCCTTTCTGTGTACATGTACAAAGTCGTGTACTCCCACAGACTGCATTAATCAAGATCATCTAAACGTGAACAGAAAAACAGAATAGAACCCAACCTATCTAGCTAAGGCTACACCAATTTAATTTCTTGGTTGACGGATTATTCTAGAAAAATAATGGAGCGTGCGGGCCAAAAAAAATGAAAATAAAAACAGGCATCCTATCATGGCCCAAAATTGTACAATAGGAGCCATGAAGTCAACACACCAGGCTGGTTCAAAATTTAAACAATGAATTTTGAACTTTTAATGATACCATTGCATTAAAAGATGGAATAACTGTAACAACTAGGAAGAAAAGGACTGTTTTCAACTGTTCAGGGCAAAATATGAGCATTTTGCAGTTGATTCATTTTTTTTTTTTTGCAAATCGGAAAAAAATGAAGCGGCCAAGAAATTAACAGGGTAAATGCACTCAGTGCTAAACACAGTCATTGCTTTTTAGGCATGGCATGTACATAAAGAGAAAAATATATAAAGAGGAATTGGACCTCCCTGTCAGTCTGTGGTTACACAATTTCCCCCTTACTTCCTATGACTCCACTTTATGTATTCAAATAACTACTCCCATACAGAGAAACAGACAGACACACCAAAATGAAACCTCCACACACGGAGGTAATGAACAAGCAAACTACATGTCCTCGGTACTGAAATGGCATCCAGTTAGATAAGCACTAACGTGGGGTACTTAAGTTTGGTACAACTGCCTGCTCTAATGTACATGGAAACATTAGGCACGAGTCATCAATATTTCCTCATCACTAGAAAGTGTGTACGTGTTGCCTCCCAATTCAAAATAGCATTGGGAGTTGGGAATAGCTTCAGTAAATACACAGATTAGGCCAAACCAATTTAATTTCTTGGTTAACGGATTCGCCTGCTTCATTCATTTTTGATTTGCAAATAAAAATAAAAATTCAGAATCAACTGCAAAATGCTCATATTTTGCCCTGAACAGTTGAAAACAGTCCTTTTCATCCTAGTTGTTACATCTTTCAATGCAATGGTATCATTAAAAGTTCAAAATTCATTGTTTAAATTTTGAACCAACCTGGTGTGTTGACTTCATGGCTCCTATCGTAGCATTTTGGGCCATAATAGGATGCCTAGGCCTGTTTTTATTTTATTTTTTTTCACCCGCCCGCTCCATTATTTTTCTAGAAAAATTTGTTTACCAAGAAATTAAATTGGTGTGGCCTTAACAAAGTTACTTATTATAATTAATGATGATCAGAATTTTGTTAGTTTTTATGTCAGCCTAAGGGATGTTCACCCAATCGTGCAATATATACTGTTGCCCTGGAATACAGAAGGAAAAACAGACCAAAATGGACCATATTCTGTGGACATTTATGTTAGGTATGCTACTAGGAGGAGGGCATAGTGACCCTTAAAATGACATCTAAAAAACTTGGAGGTTAAAATAATAAAAAGCCATAGAATACTCCCTTCCCCCTCTAGTTTGTTATATGGTTTATATGTTATGACTTTAAAAGTAAATGTTGACTCAATAAATGCCAAACTAGATTATTCCGGTCCCCACCAGACTTACATGTTAGCTTCCAGCTTGCTCTGGAAAATTGAGGTTAATGAGGTTTTGAAGCCGGAGCATTTGCATGTAAATTGAATCTTAGTCTGTGGACTGGAGATACGATGTGACCACAACTCTGACGTCATGAAATCTCTCATTCATATAACTAAGGCCACACCAATTTTATTTGTTGGTTCTCGGATTTGTCTCTTCATTTTTTTCTGATTTGCAAAAAAAAAAAAATTCTGGTTTTGAATCAACTAAAAAAAAATGCTCCTACATGTATTTTGCGCCCAACAGTTGAGGAAAGTCCTTTTCTTCCTAGTTGTTGCAGTTTTCCATCTATCAATGCAGTGGTTTGATTTAAAGTTAAAAATTCGTTGTTTAAATATTAGCCCAGCCTTTTGTGTTGACTTCATGGCTCGTAACATAGCATTTGGCGCTATAATTATACTATCATAAGTATGCCTAGACCTGTTTTTATTTTTTTTTGCCCTGTCGCTTCATATTTTTCCTTAAAAAAATCTGAGAACCAACAAGTTAACTTGGTGTGGCCTAAGGCCACATCAACACAATCAGTAACTCAGTTGTTTTTTTTCCTCAAGTTTCTGTGCAAAAAAGTAGTACAATGGTTTGAAAGCTACATTTGATAGGTATTGGTAGGGGAAAATATGACTCTGGTATGGTCATTAGGCCGCACCAATTTATTAGTTTGGTTCTCAAACAGCTAAACAATTTTTACAGATGTACAGACTGGGGAATGAAACGGGTTTTTTTTTACCATAGTCGTCACCCTTTTCTTATTGCTGCAATAAGTCCAAAAAAAGATGAATTTCTGACTAACCTTGATTTTGTGTTCACTTGATGTTTCCTCTTCCTTCAGAGTTTACCTCCACCCCATCCACGGTCACATTCAATATCCAACTCCACCCCAAGTTCCACCAAGAGTGCGCCCACTACACCCATCTCAACTGCCTCCAAACGTGCATTAAAGTAAGTACTGTACAAGCTCTGCATTATATTCTTAATAAGATATGATATGGAAGTCAAAGGTTTGCCAGTTTGTATCTTCATGTTTATTAAAATGAAACTTTCTGTGTATAGACAGTAGAATAGGCCTTGTATGAAAATGAATAATTTTTGTATTAGTAGTAATTGAATTAAAGATTACAGTGAGGTATACGAATAGAATTTTTTCAATAACTTGTTGTTTGATATCTTTTAAAATTCCAGCTAGTATAACTTTGCTGGACAAACTTATTTGTAAAAATCATTTCTAATTCCAGGTAATATATCTCTGCTGGACAAACTTGTTTGTAAGGCCACACCAATTTAATTTCTTAGTTAACGGATTTGCCCGCTTCTTTTTTTTCTGATTTACTTAAAAAAATAAAAATTCAGAGTAAACTGCAAAATGCTCATATTTTGTCCTGAACAGTTGAAAACAGTCCTTTTCTTCCTAGTTCTTACAGTTATTCCATCTTTCAATGCAGTGGTATCATTAAAAGTTCTAAATTCATTGTTTAAATTTTGAACCAGCCTGATGGGTTGACTTCATGGCTCTTAATCGTACCATTTTGGGCCATATCTTGAAAGTTTATCTGTTGGTAGAAGTCATTTTGAAGCAATTTTCTGTAATTTCCGGCACAACAAAAATTTTGGGCCATAATAGGATGCCTAGGCCTGTTTTTATTTATTCATTTTTTCGCCCGCCCGCTCCATTATTTTTCTAGAAAAATCCATTAACCAAGAAATTGAATTGGTGTGGCCTTATGTACAATGTACACTTGACTCCTCCCCCAGCAGGACCCAGTCCCAGCCGCCCAACGCTGCTCCTGTCGTTCACACCACACCTCACAAGAAAACTCCGCCCACCGCGCCGCCTGTCCACGAACCACAGGCCTTCCAGAACGTGCGGGAAATCCTACATCAGGCCGAGCAGCAACAGGTCTCAGACGCTATTTCTACTGCAACGTTTTTGTTCAAGTCCCTTTCTCGAAATCCACCGTACTGTGAAATTTAGTAGCCTCACCCAAATTTTTGACTGTACAACTCCAGTCTTTGTCAAGGAATGAGCAATCCACCGCTTCATAAAACTGACATGTTGAACCTTTTCCCCCAGGTTTCCTTAACGAGGGTGATTGAGGGGTTACCGAGTGCGGCTCAGGGTGTGCGCAGTCTGGACCATGATCTGTTGTTACTGAAGGCGACGTCACAAACCACGATGCAATGTCTAGGGCAGTGTTTTGCTATCTTACAACACTCACACATGGCTGAGGCCAAGACACCCTCCTTACCCAAAGGTTGGTCTATGTGATTGGTCATTTCACTTAGTCTAACACATTTATCTCTACAATTATATATAATTATATGATAATAAAAAGTATGCATGGTACAGAATCTTTGACAAAAATAGAGATGTATGCTCTCTGAATCCCAAATGACATGACTGTACATGTTCCTGTTATAGTTAATCAATATGTGTATAGTTAAGGCTACGGCAATTTAATTTGTTGTTTCTCAGATTCGCCCTGTCCATTTTTTTCTGATTTGCAAAAAAAAAAAAACTTTTTTAGGTTCTAAATCAACTAAATGCACAATGCACAATGAAAGACATTTTGGCTTGAACAGTTGAACAAAGTTCTCTTCTTCCTCTTTAAATTTGTTAAAGTTTTTCAATGTAAACTTTGTTTCATTTTAAGTTCAAAATATCTTGTTTTAATTAATAAATATAAACCAGCCTGGTATGTTGACTTCATGGCTCATATTGTAACATTTCTGGCTATCATGGGGTGCTTTGGCCTGTTTTTTTTTTTATTTCGCCTTGTCACTTTATATTTTTTCTGAAAAAAATCCGAGAAACAACAAATTAAATTGGTGTGGCCTAATAGGTGTGTTTTAAGGTGTGTTACAAGGGATGTAATACAAAATAATATTTAGAAGTTAGGTTAGGTTTCAAGTTATCATTTGCTATTTGTACAGCTTGTTGGTTTGGAAAATATGAACCAAGACGTAGACGTATAATTAGTCTTTTTACTTGATGTTCAGTTTTTTTTTTTACTCAAGACATCTTTTATTGACAAATGAAATATACAGTCAAAATTTAATGATCAGATACATATTTACATATGGTAAACAATGTTTACAAGGAACATTCATTTTCAAATAATATCACAATATTTCCATTGTTTGTACCATACTTGTACTTAAAAATTGTAAACTTTCCAAGCACATGTAATGTCAATACGTAAATATAGTGAAATTTTACAATAATCATGAAGTTTGTAACCGAGGATAACATCATGTACAGATAATGATAATGTGTTTCCATATTTGATGTTCAGTTTTACTTCAAGGGACTTATAAGTGTGTGGGACTTGAAGGGTTGCAAAGCAGTATGGGTAAGGGAGTGAAGTCTGCTATGCTTTTATGTCACATATCTGCAGGTGCCACGATAGAATGGTTGGAGCCTAGGTCCCCTCCGAGCGCCTCTCCCCCCTCCTCCAGGAAAAACAAGATCCCCAAATCCTCCTCCTTCCCTTCCAACATGTCTGCCAGCCAGGACGTGTGCTTCGGCTCCGGCATGATGGAGGTTTGTTTGTTTGTTTATTAGAATTCACCATAAGGCCACACCAATTTAATTTCTTGGTTAACGGATTTTTCTAGAAAAATAATGGAGCGGGCGAGCGAAAAAAATAAAAAAACAAGAAGCCATAGGCGACAATTCTCCGTGAAGTATTATATATTGCAACAAAAAGAAGTAGCCATTGGCGACAATTCTCTGTGAAGTGTGATAAATCGAACAAAGAAAAATTGTTTAAACGCGCGTCGGCTCAGTCATCTTAAGACGCAACAACCAATCAGAGATGCGAGATGCCTACACGTGACGCGGGAAGGGCGCGCGATGCCCGAAATATTTTTGCGTCAATATTCAGCGCCGTGATTCAAGAGATTAATACCCGGAAACAATTTTTTCTTGTTTTGAACGCATTAACATGCATTTACGCTAATCTAGTATGATTCAGGGTTACTTTTTTTTTAACCTGCCATGGCCAGATTATCTAAAGATGTGTGTATTGTGTGTACAATCTATAGAAAGAGAAATGTACATCAGGTCCGATCATCCGATTTTCACGTTTCGGTTTTTTGGACTCGGTTCATGAACGTATTTTGGTTTGGCTCCTGGAATGTGCAAAAAAATGACTCCCGGGACTGTCTACAGGGAACACTCGCACATTCGCGGTGTATCAGGACAGCGCGACTGGTCGTCATTAGCGCAGTAACAGTTGCATAAACGGACGAAACCATTTCAAAGAAATGGGGATGTTTCGAAAATAAGCATTTACTCCAATATCAAAACAGCTACGGTAAAATAAAAAGACGTGCATCATCCCGGACATAATGCAACACCACATGCGAAATTACACAGAAATGCGACGTACGGAAGAATGCGTTTTGGCTGCGAACATCTTCCAAAAAACTTGGCATCTCTTAACCATGGGCAAAAACATCTGGAACCACTTATAAAAACCACCCCGTATCTGCATGAACTTTTTTGAACCCCACTGCTATTCCAAACAACGCGTTTTTCTGGACCATTCCAATTCGCCTCGTAATTGTAGGGGTGCGTCTGCGATATTACATTGACCGCGAAAGCAGCAACGGCAAAAATACACATTCGTGCATCAACACGGGCATGCCCGCAGACGGCGTATAAAATTGCGTGCCGATTACACAAAGAGAACCCAGTGTTTTGACTGCGAACATGAAAAATCAGCCGATTACAACACTCCGTCCGGAGGTCCTGACCTCCTTCACGGAGTAATAACTAGAAAGGCCAATATTTGCTTTGGAGCAAATACAGCGATGGCTTCACAACATTTTACGACATGGCAGGGAAAGAATGAGAAACACAAGGGAAAACAATGATTTACATTGATATAACTATAATATGAATTATACCATACCCGGGCCGCGATAACGTTCGATAACGGGTTCCGGACCGGGCCGTACTTCACGGTACGGCCCGGTCCGGAACCCGTTATCGAACGCTTCCATGGCTTCCATAAGACGATTCGAACGCGTTTCACCCTACCCGCGTGTGCCCCTTTCGAAAATTCGAATACAGAATCCGCACGTTGGAATTGATGTTGTTGCATTTTAGGGTTTAGTGGCACCAACTTTGGGCTCATCTTGCATTGAAAGGCGCGTTTTCTTTGGTGGGTATGGTATAAAGTAGGGCCTCGGGCGATCCGACTCGCGGTCGGGCCGACACCTCGGGCGATACGGAATACCCCGTGTTGTATTCTATATGTAAAATACAACTATAACAACAGTTGGATAGCTATTCCCTACTTTATTGGTTAGGATTTTTAATTGCATAATGCAAACTGTTGATTTTCAAAATAAAAATAAAAAACGTCCATGCCCCGCATTCCAATGCTGGAGCAGGAAAGCTTGAAATACCTTCCAAAAAAACACTTGAATACAGACATACTGTCAGTATGGAAATGCTCTGTGCAGGTGTTAATCAAGTTAAATCCCAACAGCCAATCAGCAAGAAATGCTCTGTGCAGGTGGAAATGCTCTGTGCAGGTATTGATCAAGTTAAATCCCAACAGCCAATCAGCAAGAAGAATAGAGGAAAGCTGCATGCCTATTGGTTGATGCCCTGCATTCCATTGTGATGACTCATGCCCAAACGTGGTAAACAAGGCACACTAACACAGTAATACATTTGCTATAACACAGCCAAAAAACTCAAATAAAACCATTCTAAAAGCCTGTATCACAATAATTTAAAAAACGCCTAGGGGTATTTGCCCACTGTACCTCCATACCAAATTTCAGGACCTTGGGCCCTAAAATGAAGAAGCTGAATCCATTTAAAAAATGGCAGGAGAAGAAGGAGGAGAAGAAGAAGAAGGAGAAGAAACATCAGAAAAAGCAATATGGGTTCACCACCACTTCGTGGTGTGGTGAACCCATAAAAACAGTCCTAGGCATCCTATTATGGCCCAAACTGGTACGTTAGGAGCCATGAAGTCAGCACACCAGGCTGGTTCAAAATTAAAACAATTAATTTTGAACTTTTAATGATACCACTGCATTGAAATATGGAATAACTGTAACAACTAGCAACTAGGAAGAAAGGGACTGTTTTCAACTGTTCAGGGCAAAATATGAGCATTTTGCAGTTGATTCTGAATTTTTTTTTTTGCCAATCAGAAAAAATTGAAGCGGGCGAATCCGTTAACCAACAAATTAAATTGGTGTAGCCTTATCAACATTTGGCATTTGATAATGATAATGATAATACGATAAACATCATTGTGTTATATTTGTCTCCCAGGTTTACGACATTAACCACGATAATGAAGTCATGGATGACGTGGACCAGGACGAGGCAGAACTGGGCACCGTGGAGGAACACAAGAGCATCATCCTGCACCTGCTGTCTCAACTCAAGCTGGGGATGGACCTCACTAGGGTTGGTAGTGGTGGATTGTCTTTTTTTTTTAACGGAGTGGTTCAATGCAAGGCCTACAATGTATACAACCACTTCTCGGCATTGAACTAGAAATATGAAAGAAACATGGCTATGTCAAGAGATGGCGGTGAACGTTTGATTTAAAAGCCTGTAGATTGTAGGTTGGTGGGAAACACTTGTCAGGGAGGGAATTCCAAAGCTTGGCTGTACGGGGAAAGAAGCTGTCACTGTAAAAAGATTTCAAACAAGGAATTTGGAGTTGTGTGAGTAATGGAAAACCTAGTGGAACGCTTAAAAGTTCTGAGTGGTGGAACTAATTGGGTGAGTTCTGCAGAGCAATGAGCATGAAAATATCTGTAAAAGAGGGACATTTTTCTATGGGAAATGGTGTCTAACTTGGAGGCTGAGGATAGCCTCTTTACTGTAAATCTTCAAATGTTCACAGTGGGAAACTGCAAATTCACTGTGAATGAGTGTTTTCAATGAATTCAATAAATACTAATTCACTGTGGCATCGGGTGGCGTAGTTGTACATTGTGTAGATCATTCGACTGTGAACTGGGAGACCTGGGTTCGATCCCGAGTCGTACCTGGGACATGTCTGCACATGCGCCTCGACGTTGTGCCCTTGGGAGGCACTTTACACACAACCTTCCTCACTCCACCCAGGTGTGAATGGGTACCTAACTTCGGTTGGGGAAAGCTGTATTGAGGTCACCTTGTGGCGCCGAATGGCAGCCGCACAGACCCTTGCGACAGTTCCACCAAAAAATTTGTGGAGCAAATATGTGTTATCATGTGTACTATTTGACTGTTGTGATTTATATTGATTATTATGTGATACCCTGCATCAATTCAGCCATTAAAGGCTACGACTGCACGGGTACTGTTAAGACAATAAAAACCATTTATATTAAAGTGGGAAACTTCTACACTGCAAATTCCCCACTGTTAATGTTTCCAAAGCATTCATTACTACTATACCACAGAATTGTTTCAACGTGAAACTTATATAAAGTTGTAATACTGTGAAAACCTCCTTGTCATTTGTCTCCCAGGTTGTACTGCCAACGTTTATCCTGGAGAAACGATCACTTCTGGAGATGTATGCAGACTTTATGGCCCATCCGGACCTGTTCCTGTGCATCCCCGAGGCTGAGAGTCCTGAGGACAGGATGATGGCCATGGTGGAGTACTACCTCACAGCCTTCCATGTGGGAAGGAAAGGTTGGTCCTGCCCATGTGTTCTGTCTTAGGCCACAACAATTTAATTTCTTGGTTAACAGATTTTTCTAGAAAAATAATGGAGCGGGCAGGCAAAAAAAATAAATACAGGCCTAGGTATGCTATTATGGCCCAGAATGGTATGATAGGAGCCATGAAGTCAACACACCAGGCTGGTTCAAAATTTAAACAATGAATTTTGAACTTTGCATTGCAATGATACCATTGCATTGAAAGATGGAATAACTGTAACAACTAGGATGAAAAGGACTGTTTTCAACTGTTCAGGGCAAAATATGAGCATTTTGCAGTTGATTCTGAATTTTTATTTTTATTTGCAAATCAGAAAAAAAAAATGAAGCGGGTGAATCCGTTAACCAAGAAATTAAATTGGTGTGGCCTTAGGGCTCAAAATAAGTCTTTCTGTAACATTTAAAATTACCTGCACCAGACAAATCTTATTTACAGTGGGTGTCACTGGAAGACAGAAGAAAAATGTCCAGACTATGCATGATGTACAAAATGACTAATAAACTGGTGGACGTACCAAGCACTAAGTACCTAATACCAACCCAGAAGAGAACAAGAAATAGCCATGCCTTTAAGTACCAGAGAATTGAAGTGTTCAAGAATTCATTCTTTCCTACAACTATCGCAGAGTGGAACTCACTGTCACCAAGTACAGTAGGGGTATTGTCATTAGATACATGTAGCTGGTGTGTTATGCCAAAAGGTGGTTATACCGGCTATACAGATACAGATTCTTTCATCATTTAGATCACTCAAAGACTGTTTCTACTAAGATCACAAAACCCACTCATTATGCAGAATGTTGGACTATATTACATGTATTATCCACTGCCTTCAAAGAAGAAGTCAAACCTCATAATAGCAAGCGTAGTATTAGAAGTATAACTTTTTCCGAAAGTATAACTTTTGTCTGTCTCCTATTTATATTGCATTGTACCGAATAGTATTTTTGACTGTAAAAGCAATTAGCCTTTGGGCATGATTTTGCAAATAAAGAATTATAATTATGAAGTTCTTGTAGTAGTTTTCCATTTATTCAAACATCAAATCTTCCTTCGCAGGTTCTCTTGCCAAAAAACCCTACAATCCTATTATTGGAGAAGTGTTCCACTGTTCCTGGGACATTCCTGTCACTCAGCCTTGCAATAGCCAATCAGAAACAGCCACATCAAGCAACAACCAATCAGAGACAAGCACCTCTCCTATCAACCAATCAGCAGACAAGGCAGGGTACCAAAGAGTGGTCTTCACTGCTGAACAGGTGGGTAGTGCAATGACTTGTATTTTTTTTTTGCTGAACTTTCTAGAACTTTGTCTACCAATAGAGGACCACACTTCAATGTACTAGTAAGTATGTAAAGGAAAAGTTTACCACATTTTTAAAACATTTTTATTAAGTTAGGCCACACCGCCTTAATTTTATGGATGACATCCGCGCACGCATTGATTTTCGCCTGTTCTAAAAAAAAGACAGATCACGTCCTCCAGGGCTCTAGCCTGGCTCTAGGCCTGGGTACTCCATGGTAGTTAGCAACATTATGGAGCCGGTGGTAACTCTGGAAGATGGCACCCAGGATGCCAAAGCTCCACGACAGCAAGAACTCAGTACATACACACAGTGCCGATTCATAAATTCCGCACAAAGCCAGCATGTGCCAGCTTGTTGTATACGTCGCTATGTACTGTCACAAATTCACAATACCCGCTATGTATTCCTGTGGTGTTGTAGCATTTTTTTTTTTGCCCAGAATTTTTTTATTCGCGCACTAGTTTGGGGGTCTTCAGAGGATGTTATCCATAAAATTAAGATGGTGTGGCCTTACCAAGACCATAAGGTCACACGTCCAAGTCTCTGATGTCATGATCTGTCTGGCAGGTATCCCATCATCCTCCAGTGTCAGCATTCTATGCTGAATGCAAAGAGAAGAAGGTTTGCATGAACGCCCATATATGGACCAAATCCAAGTTCATGGGGATGTCCATCGGTGTGGTGAATGTGGGAGAGGGCGTGGTCCATGACATCACTCACGGGGAGGAGTACACCTTCACTTTACCCAGTGCCTATGCCAGGTTAGTTGAAAATAATCACTCTACAAGCAGGGCTTCAATAATTACCCCCATAAAAAATGGAGGTATTGTTTTTGGTGCGTCTATGTTTCCGCACATTTGTAGTCAGCATAACTTCATATCGCCTTTATGGATTGTGATGATATTTGGTATGCTGGTAGGTCTTAGGAAGCCAAAGGTCAGGGTCAAGTATGGGCCTCCTGGTGGCTGACCTTGGTACTGCAGCAGAACTACCGGGAAAACAGATGTGCGGGGTGGCAGGGAAAACATGTGCGGGGTGGAGGCAGCGCCTGCCCGGTTTTGATTGATGAGGTTCTCTATATATGGTGCTCTCAAAAATATTTTTGTGCATGACCTAATTTTTTTAGGTTGGGTGCACCAGTGCACCTATTCCCAAAAATAAATTTCGAGCCCTGTTCTACAAGCAAGGCTTGATTGATTTTTTTCTGCATTTTCAGAATTATGAAATATTCAAAATTATGAAACAAGTTTGAACTGCAAACTCCAATACAACAAACAGGACTTACCCAATTTTTTTTTTATCTCACTACGTTCTCTGTTGTCTGTCTTCAATGATGCTACTTTGAAGAATGTCAGGCAGTTTTTGACCACCGCTGGTCATATTTCCCCTGGTGTGGGGCTGGTTTTGTCATAGACCAGTTCAGGTTAAATGCAGAAATCCTTGCCCAGATCCTATTTTACCTACACTGACCTGAATAATAATCTTTTAATGCAAGTGTTATTTCAAGCCCTGTGCAATTTACGGCATATACAATGTACATGCATTTGCCCATTTTGCAATGTAAAATGTAGGAACCTTGTTTTTTTTCGGCCCATCTTGTTTTTTTTTTGCCGGCTCGCATTAGATTTGGAGTCTGCGGAGGATGTCATCCATAAAATTTACTTGTTGTGGCCTAAGTCTACCTTTCCTGCCCATGTACATGTAGGTCCATCCTGACTGTACCTTGGGTGGAGCTGGGAGGAAAGATCAACATCACGTGTGCCAAGTCAGGCTGGCAGGCAGGGATCACATTCCACACCAAGCCTTTCTACGGCGGGAAACTACACCATATCTCTGGAGAGGTCAAACATCAGCCCACCAATAGGGTCATCTGTAAGATACAGGTACATGTATGCTGTAGTACAGTAGTTTTGTCTTCTGTAACCTGATTGGTCCACTCAAAACTCCCAAAATATCCAACAAATAAAGTTTATCTTTGAGTAATAGGTGTGGTGCAACTTGTTGTGTGTCCTGTATGTTGATTGGTTAGATACATCAAACTCATTATGTTTGTTTGTTTATTTGTTTCATTGTTAAAACTAACATCTGTGGATAAATACAACTGCTAGTATTCCATTTTATCTCATGGATAGATCGGCTTCAGCTACTAAAGTACGCTGTGCATATATCATATGACTATTGTACATTCATTATGTTTATCGAAGGAAAACAATATATTGTTTTTGCTCTGTTTCTTCCTCTTCTTCTTCTCCAAACAGTGACCTATGACCTGACCAATGGCATGATTTGTTGATGTCTGTCACCATGGTGACTGGTGTTGGGTTACATAATGTTGCAATTTCATGGTCTGCTCTACTCCTGTCACCATATACTGGTAGTACATGTACATGTATGTGAATGTGTTTGAGACTTTGAGTAAAAATTAACAGGGCTGACCATGTTCAAAGGTAAACATTATGCATTTGCTTTGCAAATGTTACTTCAGATCTCTAGTTCTATGTACATTTTTACGTCATGTTTCACATTTTCAACATTTTCATCATTTTCTAGGGAGAATGGAATGGGTCCATAGAGTTCACCTACTGCAATGGCTACAGGGGCAACGACACCAAGGTCATTGACACGGCCAAGCTGTCCAAGATCAGGAAGAAGGTTCGACCAATCAACATGCAGGGCGACTTCGAGTCCAGGTTAGAATTTCCTGATGACAGTTTAAAAACCAACTGACACTTGTATAAAGCAAATTCTCTCCTATCCAGGGTGGCAGATTTATTCAGCTGTTGTCCCAGTTTGCACAAATCCTTGCATTTATGGAGGATACATTACAACTAACACCACATAATCCTATAAACCTTTGCATATATTACTCTAAGGCCACACCAATTTGATTTGTTGCTTCTAGGATAATTTAAAAAAAAAAAAAAATAGAAGCGACAGGATGAAATTTAAAAAGCAGCCCAAGGCACCCCATGATAGCCAGAAATGTTACAATGTGAGCTATGAAGTCAACATACCAGGCTGGTTTATAATTAAAACAAATTATATATTTTGAACTTTATACAAAGTTGCATTGTTACATTGAAACACGTTACATTGTTAAGCTCATTTTAGGCACTTATTTAGTTGCCTATATGTTAACTGTGAAATACTTGTTTAGTTGTCTACTTGTTAACTGTGCAATATTTGTTTCTCTGTTTTTAAACACTAGCATACAATTCAGCGCTACTTTTTTAGTTTCGCTGCCACATGCTAGAGATTGTACACATCGATCAATCAATAAACAATTATTATTATTTAACAACTAGGAAAAAAAGGACTTTCTTCAACCGTTTGAGCCAAAACATATCTTTTATTGTGCATTTTGCAGTTGATTTACAACCTAAATTTTTTTTTTTTGCAAATCAGAAAAAAAGGACAGGGCGAATCTGGAAACAACAAATTAAATTGGCGTGGCCTAAGTATAGTTTAAAGCTGGAAATTCACTACAAATCACCCAGATACACCAGTCATGTACTAGAGTATCAGCCAAATGGTGATTTACAGTCCCTTGCAGACTCCAGGGAGAATTTACTAACTTGTCTTCCTATGTTCTGTGTACAGGAAACTGTGGCAGAACGTTACTGCTGCCCTGAAATCCAACGACATCGAGCGCGCAACGGAGCACAAGCGGTTCCTGGAAGAGCGTCAGCGGACGGAGGAGCGACTGCGCGAGGAGCACAGAATAGCCTGGCGTACCAAGCTGTTCCACAGGAAGGGGGAGGGCTGGGTCAACAACAACCTGCTGGAGGCTTCACAGTGATGTTTTCTGGCTTTACATAAGGACACAGCAAGTAAATTTTATGGATGACATCCTCCGCAGACTCCAAATCTAACGCGAGCGGGTGAAAAAAAAACAAGGCGGGCCAAAAAAACAAGGTTCCTACATTTTAAAATTTTGATTCAATCATTGTACAAATGGTTTTGATTCAGTGGGAACATCACATATACACAGCAAACATCTCATATCACTGCATCAAAGTAAGAAACAAAACATTAAATCAGAGTCTTTTCTTGTCTCCTCTCTTTATATGTATCTGCCATCCACCTTCCGTCATGGCAACAGACATCTTTGCCCATTTTTGGCATGTTGAACACTGTCAGAAGGCAACAAAATTTCTTGTTTTTTTTTCCCAAATCAGCCGAAAATTAATGCACGTGCTGATGTCATCCATAAAAATTACTTGCTGTGGCCTAAATACAACTGCCCTTTTATCAGCATCAAAAAGGCTTACATGTATTTGTTGGCACAGGTTGTGTGATTTAGGTTGGAATTTTAGGCCTGGAATCTGTTACTTGCAGAAATTCAGGCTGTACTTGAAGCCTTCTACAGCATGGCTGACCTAATACATGGACACAAAAGCTTACATAGTCATGATTTTACACTAATCACACACTCATACTTGCAAATTCTAGGCATATTCGGTCAAATTCTATGGGTGAGGTCACATGTCTGAAATAGGCCGTACATGTTTTTTTTTTTAGTCATGGTTTTCTCGTATTGGATCCAATGTAAACCTTCTTGCTTCTAAACTGGCCTTTTAAGGGAGAAGGTTAAACTGTTAGTGATATCACAGTAATTCTTAAGTTAGTTTATCAGGCCTGGTTATATTGAACATACCTCTGAGAAGTCGGTTGTAGAGATGAAGGCCCCAAATTTTGTCCATTTCGGAAGGATCAGACCTAACTATAGGCTGTGCCCCCAGAATTATAAAATGTATCATAATGTCATGTGTACCTGGTAATCTACTATATGTAACCTGCACATGTCATCATTCATAAACTCAACTGGATGTCATCCAAGGTTAGGGACAGAAAATTGTGAGCACTTTGACTTCATAAATGGTGTTTAAAGTTAAAAACTTTTGGTCCAACACGAACAATTCTCTCACCTAGAGCTTTCGACCAGTCACTCTGGTCTTCCTCAGTAGACTGACCCAGTGAAGCTTGTCACGTGGCTTCTTTGAAGTGTGACGTCAACACTGGGTCAAAGGTATCTGGTAGACGATGTCGGCCCCCGTCGCGGTTCAATGTAGGGTGATGGGCCCTGATGTATATGACTTCCTTCAACCCTCTCAAGAAATAGTCATAGATGGTGTCGGCTTTGCAATTTTTTTTGTCATCATACATGTATTCTTAGGACAGCTGAAAAGTCTCCAAGCAGATGTTAGGAGGGAGAGTTGGAAACAGAACAGCCTGAAAAATCATTCTGACCCTCTAACTCTCCACTGTAAAGGCCAAAATCAAATGCTGTAATAAAATTTCTCAGCATAACTGACAGCTAACATAAAAAATGACCTGAAAAGAACCAAATGTAGTGTATGTGTACAGAAGTGCATGGTGTACCAAATAGAATTCACACATTTGATTCTTGATTGTCTATTAGAAGTACAGTATGTGACTGTCACATGTAATATGTGTAATGATTTGGACCACTTAGAAAATGTTACCGTAACAGTGTACATGTACGTCTCAGGCAATGGCCACTCTTAAGTGATTAGGAAAAAAGCCGACATTTTGTAAAATAATCTGTCCAAACATTTATGATGTGATACATTTTGTACACTAAATAGGGGTAGGAGATGCCATGTAGCATTTAATGTAAGTTCTGTGATCTTAAAGTTTGTACAAGTGCAATTTAGTACCAAAAACAATGTGTTTGTGACTTAATGTATTGTTGGCAATATTATATTCAGTCTTGAAATTTGTAAAAAAAAACTATAGGATAAAAAAGACACATCACTGGGGTAAACTTAACTGTCAGGGGGCAACTTTTTCTTTAAAAAGCTGTGAAAACAAACATTAAAACTGCAATAGAACATTTTAAGTGATAATCATGATCATGTGCCTTTAAAGACTAACAGAAGAAGTCATTATGCTTGATTACGTCAAAGCTTTATTAGCAATTAATTGAATGTACAGAATAGGTCAATGCTAATAGTACACTTTTTGTAATTTCAACTGATGTTATTGTGTCTATTGTACACTAGTTTGCCTTTTAAAAAGAATTTATCATATGTGTTGACAATTGAAATGATTCCCATGTTATATGATCTATAGTAGTAGTAGGTTTATGATTTCTATGCTTGTGAAGATGTAAAAGATGAATTGAAACATTTGTTGAAGCTAGTGCTGCATACCAGTTCAATGGACTTGGATCCAGACTTGTAAGAATGTTTGGGTTCAAGTCCAAAAAAACCTAAAAGTCAAGAACCGAGTCCAGACTTATTACCATAAAAGACCATTTCACATACCCCTTTTCTTTCCAAACCACCTAAAACCTTCTGTAGATTACAAAATCTTTGCTGCAAAATGAAGAAAACATCATTGCCATCGGGCATCATCAAGTGTCGGCCTCCATGTTATGTGGCCAAAGTTTCACCCAGACAACATTGCAAGGTTGCCAACATGTAATTTTGTATATGCTGTGGGTTTAGGTCCGGACATGTAAGAACCTAAACCTCTGTATTTGAATCTGGACCTGAACCTAAATGTGGATTTAGGTATGCAGCACTAGTTGAAGCCCTGCTATCATATGGCTAGTGTGCTTACAAAATATATGGTGCCATAGTAGTGCTCCAACTCAACTAAAATTCACGACACTTTCTCAGTATAAGTTGGTATTTTAACTACCAACAAGAGCAACTCATATCCAGTTTATCACTAAACATACACTTATTAATAGTGTAATTTTCTTTACCAAGATGACAAAGCTGACAAAGTTTGTAAATAACTGCAAAATCTGTTTCTGTTCCTTTTCTCAGTATATATTAAACATGAATTACATACTCCTACTTGTCTGCAATATTTCCTTTTATAGGGTTTTGAAAAATTAAACTAAGGCCACACCAATTTAATTTCTTGGTTAACGGATTCGCCCGCTTCATTTTTTTCTGATTTCCCCCCCCCCAAAAAAAATCATAATCAACTGCAAAATGCTAATGTTTTTCTTCCTAGTTGTTACAGTTATTCCATCTTTCAATCCAGTGGTATCATTAAAAGTTCAAAATTCATTGTTTAAATTTTGAAACAGCCTGGTGTGTTGACTTCATGGCTCCTATCGTACCATTTGGGGCCATAATAGCCATAATAGGATGCCTGGTCCTGTTTTTATTTTTATTTTTGCCCGCCCGCTCCATTATTTTTCTAGAAAAATCTGTTAACCAAGAAATTATATTGGTGTGGCCTGAAAGAAATTTGACTCACCATAACGTTTTAAGGCTTGTTTAAAGATATACTTTAGAGACACATAATATAAGGACACTTGTCTAATAGTACAGTCAAACCTGCCAAGGGGACCACCTCTTCAAGCTGGCCACCTGTCCATGGTGACCGCTTTTTCTCAGTCCCAAAAATTTTCCCCATTGACACAAGATAAGCAACCTGTCCAAGGTGACCACCTGGCCAATGTGACCGCGACCACTCTGAGTTAGGTCTGCTCAAGGCCAGATACCTGCCCATGGTGACCACATCATTTTCGATCATGTTGATTACTGACTCAGATGATAACTAATGAGGAATCATGGAGAAACCAGCCAGTTTGCCTCAACTGCTGGATGATGTTTTTGTTTGACATTAATTGTTCCATGTGCCACTCTCCACACATGCATTCAGGACAAAACTGAAGATGCTTACAGCATTTGACATTAAAACATCTTGACTAAAGGAAACCATTTATGTCTCAGTCATGTGAGATTACCCTCTTCAAGGAGACCACCTGTCCAAGGTGGCCACTTTTCTTTGGTCCCCTGGGTGGCCGGCTTGAACAGGTTTGACTGTAATTAGAAGAATTCTTATCATAATTTCTGAATCAGAAGCTGAATCCACATTTGTCCAAAATTTCATTCACTTCTTTGGTAACCGTTATAATGTTTCACACCCAAAAAATCATACTGATGCAAACATAATTTACTTGGCAGAAGTGGATATGATTATTGCTTGCTGCTTTCTGACATTAAAATTCCTTTTGTATCGAGATGTTGGCAAAATTGTCTTTGCATTCAAAAAGGCTGGTGAAACGGATAGAGGGGGTGTTTCGCATCCCTGTGGTACCAAATAATCCTCCAGGTAGGCTCAAAGTTCCCGAGAACTTCCATATCTTCATCAGTCAGAAGCCAATCAAAAACTTGAGAATTCTCGCGTATCCTCAAGGGCGTGGCGCTCTTCGGAATTACGACTACACCTCGTTGGATGTGGAAACGAATGAGGACTTGAGCTGGGGTTTTCTTGTGTCTTTCTGCTATCGCCACAACTCTGGAGTCTTCCAACAAGGATGGTACATCTGCAGAATATATGTTACAAATTGAAATGTCATTGTCAAAAAACATAATTTCTGTCTGAAAATTGGGACAATTTTGTGGTATCCATAAAGCACACTACAAAGTCGTGTGGCGTAGTGACAGCGTGTTCGACTCGGAATCCGGGTTCGAGTCCTGACATGCTTGTGCCTTTGGGAAAGGCAATTTACATGACTTTCCTCACTTAACTCAAGTGAAAATGAGTATTTTCTTGTCCTATATTCGTCCTCTGCGTTGGTGGCGGCATAAAATAAGACTAGTTGATATAACTTGAGTGTGCTGTCACCATGTCCGGTCATGAAATGTTGGAATATATTAAAATAAAAATACGAAGAAAGCCTGCTTGCTTATGTTTTCAAATGCTAGCTACTGTGATGTAGGATTCACAATATATTTCTCTCAGTGTATAATGATTATCACAGATCGACTTCACAATTTCCAGTCTACTTTAAAGGTAACTTTCTGCAGCGTTTACCGTACCTGAGTTCCGAAAGCGGTACTCGCGTGACCCCAGTGGACCATACGCTGTAACAACTATGTCATGTCGTCTGCAGAAGTCAATGAGTTCATGTTGTGGCAAGTAAGGATGGGACTCAATCTGAAAAAAAGAAACATCTCATTTGAGACTCCACTTTTGAAAGAGAGAAAATTCAACTATTTCAACCTTGTACATCTTTTATTTAAAATTTGTATAATATTATTATAATTATATAACAAAAGTAAAACCAGTTTTTCTTAATGCATATATCATGTTTTAAACCTGTGCAAAACTGATGCCAACTGAAGAAAAAGGTATTGTTCGTGTTACTGTCATCATGAGCAATGTAACTATGTTGTAAAGTGTCTAAGGCCACACCAATTTAATTTCTTGGTTAACAGATTCACCCGTTCCATTTTTTTCTGATTTGCAAAAAAAAAAAAAAAAAATCAGAATCGACTGGAAAATGCTCATATTTTGCCCTAAACAGTTCAAAACAGTCCTTTTCTTCCTAATTGTTACAGTTATTCCATCTTTCAATGCATTGGTTTCATTTAAAGTTCAAAATTCATTGTTTAAATTTTGAACCAGCCTGGTGTGTTGACTTCATGGCTCATATCGTACCATTTTGGGTCATAATCGGATGCCTAGGCCTGTTTTCATTTTTTTTTTCGCCCACCCGCTCCATTATTTTTCCAGAAAAATCTGTTAACCAAGAAAAATAAATGCATACTTTTTCTGCACTATTGCATCAGGTGTCAGGTCTGTAAAAGATGCCAACCACAGAACCAAGTTACTCTGCACACTGCACACATGTACAATACTGTACCTGCAAAACTGATGGCTTTATCCTGGCCACAGTAAGGATCTCTGAGATCTGCCTACTGTTGAAGTTTGACAGGCCAATCTCACGTACAAGTCCTTCTTCCACCAGGGTCTCCATGGCCTGCCATGTGTCTGAGTAGTGGTCCTCTGAATGTTTCACCGTCCCTGAAAATTTAAGTCTAAATCAGCATTCTTGACCAATGTAATTGACATAGCAGCAGCTTGATACATGTACCTTAGGCCACACCAATTTAATTTGTTGGTTCTCGGATTTTTTCAGAAAAAATGTGAAGCGACAGGGCAAAAAAAAAAAAAACAGGTCTAGGCATCCTATTATAGCCCCAAATGCTACGATAGGAGCCATGAAGTCAACACAAAAGGCTGGGATAATATTAAACAATGACTTTTGAACTCTGCGTTGATGGATACAAAACTGTAACAAGTAGGACGAAAAGATTTTCCTCAACTGTTGGGGGCAAAATATGAGCATTTTTGGGTTGAGTCCGAACCAGAATCTTTTTTTTTTTTTTAAATCAGAAAAAATGAAGAGGCAAATCCAAGAACCAACAAATAAAATTGGTGTGGCCTTAAGGTAATGCTAGAAATTATCTACTAGTAGTAGTAGTTTGGAATTGCTGTTGAGGTTGCATATCCAAGACTTTATGGGGGACAAACATGACTACTGCATGTACGATACAGTACCTGATTTTGGTTGGTTGTTAAAGAATTGGGTGGTTCGTTGTTTGGTAGGTTAGTACATGTACATGGAATTGGTTTGGTTGGTTGATTTGTTGGCTGCTTTGTTGGTTGTCCTTTGCTTGCTTGGCTGCTTTTAAATTAATATTTGCTTTGGTTGGTTGCTTTGTTGCTTGGTTGATTATGATTGACATGAAAAATAAAATTTGAGGTCTCATTCCATGATTGGCCTTTCATATTGAACCAACCTTCTTGATGTTCCCTGAGGTAATCTTGACTTTTCACATATCCCATGGGCCAGTGTATGAGGTAAAGGTCCAAGTAGTCCAGCTGCAGTTCCTTCAGGGTCCTCAAGAGGGCAGGCCTGACATCGTCTGGATGGTGATGGGAATTCCACAATTTTGAGGTCATGAAAAGTTCCTGTAAAAGATACTAATATGTAAAAAATGTGTAAAAAGGCAAGCAATGATCATGTATTTAAATCAGATTGCTGAGAAAAGTCAATACAAATAATACAATTTTTGTAGAATATGACCTTTTTTATTCCCAAAGTACTGTAATTCACTTTAAATCATACCCGGGCCGCGATAATGTTCGATAACGGGTTCCGGACCGGGCCGTACTTTACGGTACAGCCCGGTCCGGAACCCGTTATCGAACACTTCCATGGCTTCCATAAAACGATTCGAACGCGTTTCGCCCTAACCGCGTGTGCCCCTTTCGAAAATTCGAATACAGAATCCGGACGTTGGAATTGATGTTGTTACATTTTAGGGACAAGTGGCATCAACTTTTGGCTCATCTTGCATTGAAAGGCGTGTTTTCTTGGGTGGGTATGACATACAACACGGTGTATTCCGCATCGCCCTCGGTCCCGGCCGTCCCGCGAGTCGGATCGCCCGACGGCCGCAGCGGTTGGGCCGATACCTCGGGCGATACGGAATACCCCGTGTTGTATTCTATATTAAATTATGTTCAACTTCACGGTACCAAAATTTCACAGTCTGAGAAAATGGACATATTCATGGACCTATATGTTCACTGTGGTGCCAGGTGTAGGAGAAAGTCCTGGTCAATTATTTGCTAACTGTATTGATAAGTTCACTGTACACATCAAGTAACAGTGAAAACAGTGAACATAAAAGTACAGTGAAAATTTACAGTATACAGGAATTACATGTATACTGTATACATGTAGTATGGTTGGGCAATCCAATACACCAGTATACATGTAGATGCCAGTACAAATAATAATTGTTTTGTGCAGTGATAATTTATGAGGCTCAGCTTTTATCTTGTCCTGAGCAGCTGAGAAGTGGGAGTGGGCAGAGATTAGATTTCAGTTGATTGACAGGGTTGTGACCCAGTAGACCCAAGTTGGTAGGATGTGCTGTGTTAATTCATAATTCAAGAAAAAGTTCAAAAGTTACATGATCATAGAAGTGTATGTATTAGTGTATTACTAGTATGTAAAATATAATCTATTCTATGATGTAATTCAGCATGATCACACATTACAATTGCAGTGCATCCATGGAAATCTGAAATCTCCTATTTCTTGTTAGCCTGGAATCCTTGAAGGCAGAGCGGAGAAACGGAGCAGAGACACAGATGGATTCCGGGCTATTCTTGTTTACAACAGAGCCAAATTTATTTATATAATATCCAATCTATTTCTGGGTTGGTGGAAAGAGGAGTTCAGTCTGATTGGCGGAAAAAGCAGTCCAGTCCGATTTGGGGGTGGAAAAAGCATTCCAGACGACTGCTTTTTCGACGATCGGACTGGACACCTTTTTCCACCAACCCTGATCTGTTTCTTAGGTTTAAGATTCAGCTAAGGCCACGCAACAGCACAGAGCCCTGGGTAGAACTAAAGGACTTTACCTCTCGTCGGACAGTACTGTCAGTTATCTTCTTCAGGGCCACACCTACGTCTTTCTCATTCCCATATATGGAAGCACAGTCAAAGTGTCTGTAAGAGCAAAGGTTATCATTAAAATTTTCCAAATAGCAACTAGCATCAAAGGGTCAGAGTGATGTGTCTAAATTGAACACACTGGTGATATAAAAAATTTTCACACATTTTGTAATATACATGTACAATATCAATTATGATATGCTATATATTGATTCAGTTAACTAAGCCCTAAGCTAAATTGCTTAACATTGTCAACGCCATAAGTACAATGTACATGTACAAGGGTCTTAAAAGTGAACCAGCTAGGCTAACAGTGACACTACACTCTACTGTATTCGCTCTGTTAGTTCAGTTCGTAACTATGCAAGGACTCAGGTACATGTAGTCTGTAGATTAGCATGTGTAACTATTAGTATGTCATCTGTATTATACTAGTCTAGACCATTGTTAACTCTCTGTGTAAGTAAGTGCTTAACTCCCTGTGAACTATTAGACCACATATACCTGTTAGTAAAGTTAACATACGGATTACTAAACACGGCTCAGCAGAAGTGATCGAACTGTTTGGATCTCATTTATAGTAAGATACATATAGACGCTAATTATAAGATACCAAACTACCTGGTACCAAACCTCAAATATTACATTAGGCCTCATCCTAAATTTCCACTCCAGATCTCATCTTACAGTTTGAACTATAACTAAAAGGATACATCCTGATTATCAATGATTATACAAGTCATGTAGATCTCCAGCAGTCACCTATATCCAGCGTCAATAGCAGCAGTGAAGACTTGCAGCATCTGTTCAGCTTTGAGCTTTGCAGTTCCCAGTCCCAGATAGGGCATGAAAGTCCCCAGATTCAACTTCAATCCATGTCTTTGTGCTGATGAATCTGTAGTGGAGTTTTTTCCTGGGAAACACGCAAAATTTTTAAAAGGGCTAATATGTGCTACTTAAGGTATACCAAGGATTTTTGATTAGAACATTTTTAATCGTTAATTTTTATTTCGTTTTGTTAATTTTTATGTTAATTACCTTCGCCAAGAAGGTTATGTTTTCAGAGGCGTTCGTGTATGTGTGTGTGTGTGTGTGTGTGTGTGTGTGTGTGTGTCTGTCTGTACAACAACGTAATTAACG